AAAAAAAATTATTTTATAATACGTTATAGTAAGATGTGCAACAAAAATTTAAGGAGCGCGAACTGAATGCTGAATTAATCAAACAAAATTTTGCTACAAATATGATGTTATTTTTTTTATCCTAAGTAGCTATTTTCATGAATAAATTATAATATTCATTTGTGAAAAACTTATAAAATTTTGATGTTATGTTTTTTTCACAGATTTAAGTTGATAATTATTTATCAATTTTTTTAAAATTTTACAATGAATAAATTTTTTTGTAAATGATTCTAGTGAAAATAATATATATTTTTCACCATATATTTACAATTTTTTATGTGACACGTTTTAGATGTATATATAGACATGCAAATTTTGATTTTAATAATCAATTAAAACAAAACAAGAATAAAGCACTATTAAATGAAAAATATACATGTTCTATTAAAAAATTAGTAATAACAAATTTAATGCCCCCCATTATTCATTATATACAATGGAAATTATAAAGTTAAACAATTTTCCATTTCATTTTGAAACCATTTTATTTTGAACAAAGATTAAATATAATCTTAATTGAACTTTTTTTTAAAAATATACATACATCAAAAGTTACATATAAAGTAATTTTATAAAGAACAATCACTTAAAAAAAAAAAAGGAAAAAATTCATTATATTCTAAAATTAATATTTTATGATATTTATTAGTTTGTCATATTATGAAATTTTTTTTTCATGATTTTACAGAATAATAAATGATAAAATGTTTGAAATATAAAAATTGCAAACTCATGATATATACCATTTTTAATGCTATTTATTACATTACATTTATATATTGAAAAACGACATTATCTCTATTATACAAAAGTGACTTTTTGTTATGTGATAAAACTTTTTTTTCGTTCTATATATATATATATAGAGATAGAGAAAGAGAAAATTATAATATTTTATTACTTTGTATCAAAAACTAATGTTATTGCATACATTAAATTAAATCACCAATATATATTACACAGAGGATTTTAATATTATTTTTGCAAATTATTACTGCCTAGTGGAATAACCTATAATCATTTTATATTAAAAAAAAAAAAATATTAATAAACTTGATGCGCATCCCCAGAAACTAAGAAAAAAATAAACATTAATCCTGAAAAAGTAAATATAAACCCATAACGATAATCTTAAGAATGATTTAAGGTAAGAACATTGCCCAAATGGGTTATAAATGAAAATACATATAATTATAGAATGTACATATTAAATAAATGGTTTGTCTTTTTATAATTTTTCCCATAGCATACGGAATATATACATTTTTATTGAATATTTTAATATTAAAAAATTATTTCATGTACGTGTACTAAGATAGACCAGACGTTAAATTATAATAAAATTGATTAAGTCTTCTTTTTATATTTTGCTGATTTAAGAAAATTTAAAATATGAAGTTAGCAATACATAGAACTAAAATAAAAATGTAATTATATTAATTTTATTTTCATTATATTTTTTGTTAAATATAATTTATTTATATTCTTTTATTAAATAAGATGTAAAAAATGTCAAATAAAATATTGTTAATATACATAGAACAAATAATCTTGAAAAAAGAGGAATTCGAATTATTTGACAGTGTGTATGCTATATATAAGACTGAAAAAATTTTAAAATGATATATTATTTTTATATAATATCATTTATATGAGTATATTAATTTTTAATTTTTCTTCTTTATATGTATTTTTTTCTTTTTTATTTATTAAATAAAATGAAAATAATTTAGAGAATATTTATAGAACTACAATAATTGAAGTTTGTGTGTTTGGCGTTAGCACATTGCATATTAATTGTGTTATATTATATAAGTATAACTTTTCTAATTTATAAATGTGTGTATCATTTAACTTTAAAATATAATACTAATGAATAAAATAGACATATATAACATGTATAACAATGATTGTTCTTTTCTTATACATCACTCATTAAATTTTTTGTCCATTTTTTTTTTTTTTTAAGTATTATAGGTTTACACTATAATGGGAAATATTAAATTCACGCTTTTCGCTCAAATCTTTGCATATATCATTTTAACATGCACAAATCCGTATATGAAGGATGAGGTATTATAATAATATGATTGCTTTCTTGTACAATTTATTAACATAACTATTATATAAAATATATGTAATTTTGATATGAAGCTATTTATTTTATTTATTTGATAATATCCTCTACATTCTATTCAGTGTACATTTGGCAAGTATTTTGATAAGAGACACAATATTGATAAAGCATTGAATACAAGAGCCGAACGCCTATTGGCAAATTATGAACTACGTTATGCATCGAAAAAAGCAGATTCAACAGATTTTTTAACAAGATGTGAAACATTTAGAACATTAAGAAATCAAGAAGACGATATCCCAGAATATGTTAAATTATATAAATACAGAAAAGGTAGTTTTAAGCCTTATAAAGAACATTCAAATCTATTATGTGCTGTATACAAAGACATGAAAAAAGTTGATAGTTGTTTTGAAAAAAATATATTCAACCATCTTGAAAGATTGGATGAACTAAAGAAACATAAGAGAACTCCTAAAAGAACTTGTAAAAGAAGAATTTTTAGAAAATATGATATATTTCTTTTTATAGGTTATATTATTCCATTACTTGTAGTAATGTTTTCTTTGCTAAATTATGTCGCAAAACAATTTAAATATACTGAATACGTTGGTGGCTCAACTATGAAAAATTTAAATGGTAATTTTTATTTTATACCAATTATTTTAATACCCATTATTTATTTTTTAACATTTTCTTATGTTCATCAAAAAGTTAATAAATTTAGAAGATTAAAATATAAATATAGGATGATATAAATAGCATATACTTTTTGTGAACCATTATTTAATATAAAATAATGTGATGTAATTCCTTTGTTGTTACACATTTTTATAAGTGTCCTTTTAATTTTTTAAATTATATACAATTTTTCTAATAAAAATATATATATATATTGAAAAATATTTGTCTAATATGTTATATGTGTATTATGTTTTTATTATAAATCGAATATATTACATGATAATATTTGTACTTAATTTGAAACTGTAATTAAAAACAAATAGTTTAAAGGGTTTAGACTTTAACTGTGTCAGATTTTGTTATGAATAATTATATATATACAAATATGTTTACGCCAATGAGTTCACTGTTAATTTTGAAAAGTGA